GGGGGCTACGATCGAAGACGAACAGGGTGGGTATTGAGCGTTCGGGATATACATGTTGAGCTGCATGCGAGCAGGTACAAGCGAGCAGTCCTAAAATGATTGGCGTTGGTTTTGTTGTTTCAAACGTCGCATCATTGAAATGATTAGTCCCCCCTCACCGGCGCTCGTTGGGTTTTCGACTGAAATGCACCCCTCTGGGCTCGCGACCTGTTTTCATTAAGAAATAATGCCAGCTTGCTCAAACTGCGTTGTTGGCCCTCCAGCTACAACAACAACGGCTGCCGTTTTTTTAATTTCCTCACGATGTATTCCAAAATCGAGTTCTCGCGTGGGACTTCCGTACAATGTATGCAAGAATCGCGCTCTCGCGCGGGACTTCCATTTATTCAGACGCCGTGCCGTCGACACTCAGGAATCACGCTTTCGCTTTGACTTTTTCTCACGATGTATTTAGGAATCGCGCTTTCGCTCGAGACCTCCTCGCGATTCATGCAGGACGCACGCTTCGGCAACCCGCCTGCTCAACCTGACCGCCTGGGCGCGCCTTCCTGACCCGCCCGCTAGGGTCTACCCGCCCGATCTGCTTGTGTGGTTCTGTCACGTGGTTTCCGCTCCTAGCCCCTCTCCTACTACTCCCGTGGTCCATCCTTTCCCCTCCCCCATCCGTCCTTCCTTCCCTTGTTGTAGGGGCTGCGCTAAATGCGCGTGACAGGTAAGGAAGATAGGCCTCCTAGAAGGTACGATCGATGACAAGAGGGCGGGTATCCAGGGTTTGGGATAAGCGGGTTGAGCGCCACGTTGGTGTTGCAGTTGTTGCTAATGCTGTTGCTGTTGCTGTTGCTGTTGCTGTTGCTGTTGCTGTTGCTGTTGTTGCTGCTGATGTTGTTGCTGCTGATGTTGTTGTTGTTGTTGTTGGTGTTGTTGCTGTTGTTGATGTTGTTGTTGTTGTTGGTGTTGTTGTTGTTGGTGTTGTTGTTGTTGTTGTTGTTGTTGTTGTTGTTGTTGTTTGTGTTGTTGTTGTTTTTTGTGGTGGTGTTGTTATGTATGTTCATGTTGCCGTTGATATTGTTGTTGGTTGTGGTGGTATCCTTGTTGTTGTTGTTGGTGGTGGTGTTGTTGTTGCTCTGGTTGGTGTTGCTGCTGTTTGTGTTGCTGCTTCCCCCGGGCCTCGCACTTTGTTGACACGAAAGAGTGAGGTGTTACCAAAGTGGGCCCCTGGCCCAAAAGTGTGACAACAACAACGGCTTCTGCGTGATACTTCCTCACGTGTCAGAGATTGCGTTTTCGCTTGGGAGGTCTTCGCAATGTGTTCAGACGCCGCGCATTCAACATTCAGGAATCACTCTCGCTTTTCCTATCTCACGATTTAGTTGGGAATCGTGCTATCGCTCGAGACTCGCGATTCATGCAGGACGCACGCTTTAGCATCCTGCCTGCTCGACCTGGCCGCCTAGGCCCGCCTTCCCGACCCGCTTGCTAGGGTCTACCCGCACGATATGTCGTCTGGTTGTTGTGTTTCGTGTTCTTTGCTCCTGGCCGCCCCCCTGCTACTCTCTCTCTCTCCCTCTCTCTCTCTCTCTCTCCCTCTCGTGCTCTATCCTCCTCCCTCCCCCTTGTCCCTTTCTTCCAGCCGTCCTCTCTTCTTCTGCTGTAGGGGCTGCCTGAAGTGCACGTTACAGGTGAGAAGGCTATACCCCCAACGGGAGTACCACCGAAGACGAAAAGGGCGACTATCGAGGTTTTGGGAAATAAGTGTGTAACGCACGCAGATACGAGCCAACAGTCTTAAACTGAGTGTTGTTGTTGTTGCTGCTGTTGTTGTTGTCGTTATGGTTGTGGTTGTGGTTGCGGTTGTCTTTGAATTCCCATTTCTGAAGAACAACTTGCATGAATGGTGTGTGTTTGTTGTTGAATTCCCATTATGGTGGTGGTTGTATTATGTTGTTGATCCCTCCCCTCTGGTACCCATTGTATCGTTTCAGTTGAAGTCACCCCTCGGGCCTCGCACCTTGTTGTTTTTTTTGTTTATTTTTTGAACCGGGAAAGCTCGGTGTCACCAAACTGAGTTGTTGGGCTCCGAAGTACAACTACAATGGCTCCCGTTTCGTACTTCCTCACAATGTATTCCAAAATCGCGCTTTCGCGCGGGACGTTCTCACAAGTTATTGAATCGCTTCGCTCATTCCGACGGCCCATTTCGCATGACTGAGCATCTTGGGGCCGCTGGGGGGCCTCTTCAGCGTCGCTTGGGGGCCTCCTGAGGGCCTCTTGTGGGCTTTTGGGGCATCTCAGGAGCCTCTTGAGGCCTCCATGGGGCTTCTTAAGGCCGGGGGCTCGAAGTTTTGTTTTGTGTTCCCCCTTTGGGGCATCGCTTGGGGCCCTCTTGGGCCACTCTTGGGCCGTCTTGGATGCCTCTGGGGCCATCTTGGGGCCTTCTTGGGAGCTTCTTGGGCCCTCTTGGGGCGATCTTGGGGGCCTCTTGGGCCGTCTTGGAGCGTCGGGAAGCCGAACAGATGGACACGCCAAAATCTGCCCAAAACCTAAGAAAAAAGTAATGATTTTTGCCTCTTGGGGCCCTCTGGGGAGTGCTCTTGGAGGCCTCTTGGGGCGTCTGGGGGCCATCTTGGGCATCTTGGAGCGATCGTGTGGCATCTCGGAGCACTCTTGAACCATCTTGGAGGGCTCTTGGCGGCCTCGTGGCCCTTCTTGGGGCTCTCTGGAGGGCCACGGGGGCGGCGCCCAGGAGGAAAACCATCTCTGACCCGACCCTGCCGGGGATCGCCCGGGGTACTTTTCGTTCGGGGACCCCCAGGGGCCACCCCGCGCGCGCGAAGTAGAAGTATTATTTAGCAGTTACCGGAGATCTTAGCACGCCTCTGGCCCGTTGGGCCGGCGAATATAGGAATCGCGTTCTCGTGTGGGACTTCCTCGCAATTTACTCAGGCGCCGCGCCCTCGGCACTCAGGAATCACGCTCTCGCTTTGGCATTTCTTACGGTTTATTTGAGAATCGCGCTATCGTTCGAGACTTACTCGCGATGCATGCAATATTCACGCTTCAGCAGCACGCCTTCTCGACCCAGCCGCTTGGGCCCGCCTTCCCGACCTGCCCGTTAGTGTCTACCCGTCCGATGGGCCCGTCTGGTTCTGCCACGTCTTTTCTGCTCCTAGACCCCCTGCGAATCCCGTGCTCCATCCGTTTCCCTTCTCCTTCCATCCGTTCTCTCTTCCCTCGCCGTAGGGGCTGCACCAAGTACACGCGGCATAAGGAAGATATGCCCCCAAGGGGGCACAGTTGAAGACGAAGAGGGCGGGTACCGAGGTTTTCGTGTATACGTGCTGAGTGGCACGCGGGCGGGTAAGCTCGAACAGTCTTAACATGATTGCTGTTGTTGCTTGTGTTGCTGTTGCTGTAGCTGTTGCTGTTGCCGTCGTCCTCGCCTGCAGCCCACCCGCGAACCTCTGCGACTCACCCCGCGACCCACCCCAGGACCCACCCGCGAACCACCCCGCGCCCGCCGCCTCACTCTTCTCCGTCACTGCGGGGTGCTACGTATGCATACGGGCGGGAACTTTTAGATCGCGCGTCGTTCTGCCAGTTCTGGCCCACCGCGCTTCGGCGCGACACGCTGTCCACTTCTGGGTCCAGATGCGTCAACGTTTCCGACTTCCCGCACCGCGGAGCGGAGTGACAAGATCGCGTGCAACCCGGGCCACCGCATTGACACGCTGAGCAACAGTTCCCGACCGTGAACTGGAGCCTCGCACTTTGCCTCTTCGCAGAGCCCAAGAAGAAGCGAAGGACCACTTTGGGCTCAGGATCGGCTTGGGTTTCCGGGCCGTTCCTTGCATCTAGGCCGAGAAGCTTATACTTAGTCGTGGCCGAAATCCCCTACATAGCCAGCAAAAAAGAGCCGTCCGTCCCTTCTCCGGCGTTCCTTATAGCCAGACCGAGGTAGAAGATCGAGGTCGATCCCAGGAGGGTCCCCGGCCTGATGCTCTCCGTGTTTGTTGGATGCTTTTGTGCATCCTGGGGAGGGTACAGTCGGGGCCTTGAAGAAGGAACCCTTTTCGCTGGGGAGGGGCTCCGTGTTCCTTGATTGTTTCAAAGTTTGCCTCGGGTTTTCCTGAAGGCTTTCGACAGGAAATCGAAGGTTAACTTATGGAAAACAGGAGCCTCGTTCCTTATTTAGGGTTCCTTAGGTCAACGCCCCGACTGTACTCCGAACTTCTGGCTACACTGGGGGGTGACGAACGTGAAAACGCTGCGCGGCCAACCCCCCCGGCACCTTAGTGGGCCCTGGAAACGACAGGGCCGTTTTTTTTCCCGTTCCGTTTTGCCGTTTTTTTGCCGGTTCCAACGCCGATTTTTTACTGGTTCTGTCGCTGTTTTTGTTGACCGGTTCCGGCTCCGGTCGAATCCTGGAGCCGTTTTTGTTGCCGTTTCCGGTCGCCGTTTTTTCGCCGTTTCCATTTTCAAGGGACACTTTTTTGGAAACGGTTAAAAAACGGCCCTGCCGTTTCCGGGGCCCACAAAGCCCGGCACCACCCCCGCGCCCCAGCGGGCAAGGGAGCGAACCCCAGAAGCCCCCTGGCACCCCTGCGGACGCGCCGCGGCCAGCCCCCCCTGGCACTCCAAGGGGGGGGCGATGATTATCAGAAGCGAAAGAAGGACCTACACGCACATGAATCCACGATGGTTTCGAGGGTACGCGGGTACGCGCTGCGCAAATGCTCGTATGACGCGGCCAGTCTCGCGGATCGAGGGGCCGTGTTCATGTACGTAGTTGGGCGCGTACGCCCTTCGTGGGCTCCCGATATTGAGCGATCCAGAGTATACCCTCGGATGTCCTCTCGGCCCAGGTCCGACCGCACGGCAGCACGGCCACCGCTCGATCTCCCGCCTCGCAGCCTGCCTGGCCGAAGGGCCCAGCGCGGAGGAGCGCAGGGCCGCTGCCCCCCCGCGCGCGCGCGCGGCCGCCTGTTGCGCGGCCGACCGAGGCCCCGCTACCGGGCGTACATGGGCAGCAACGGGCAGGCCCGTCCCGCGCAGCTCCGCCTCGCGCGGCTGCGCGCCCGGCTGCGCGGCGACGCCGGCGCCGGCGCCGACGCTGGCGCCAACGGCGACGACGGCGGCGACGACGACGACGATCACCACGACGACGATCACCACGACGACGACGGCTGCGCAGTTCCGCCTCGCTCGGCTACGCGTGAGGGGCGATCTCTCCGTTGAAGTGGTCGGAAGCTGCTTTCGTCGAGGCTCATGTGCCCAGATATGCTCGCGCCGTGAAACAAAAACACGAGGGAGGTGTTTGCCTTGTTTTCTGTCTCTGGGGGCCTTCGTCGGGCCTCGCGACCATCCAAGGAAGAGTCAGGCTGAGCTTAACAGCCGGTCTCGTGTCGAGACCTCCCTGGGGGTCACGCCGTGGGAAAACATGACGCTTGGATATTGGCACGGTGGCCAGCGATAACGGGGGTCAGCCCATCCCTCTGGACGTTTTTTCGTGCGGTGGCGAGAGACTCTCGGGGCAGCAGGGCACAGCGCGCGCCCGCGAAAGCTCGTCGCCGGCGCCGCTGGCTGCCGAGCAGCTGGCCGCGCTCCAGGCGAGGGTCCTTGCTCGTCTCGGGCGCGGGTAGGGCCCCAGTGTCCTCCCCTCCTCCTCCTCCTCCTCCTCTTCCTGCTGCTCCTCCTCCTCCTCCTCCTCCTCCTGCTCCTCCTCCTCCCCCTCCTCCTTCTCTTCCTCCTCCTCCTCCCCCTCCTCCTCCTCCTCCCCCTCCTCCTTCTCTTCCTCCTCCTCCTCCCCCTCCTCCTCCTCCTCCCCCTCACCTCGTCGTCCTCCTGCTCCTCCTCCTCCTCCTCCTCCTCCTCCTCCTCCTCCTCCTCCTCCCCCTCCTCCAACTCCACCTCACCTCGTCTTCCTCCTCCTCCTCCTCCTCCTCCTCCTCCTCCTCCTCCTCCTCCTCCTCCCTCATTCCTTCTCCTTGTAAAGAACTCCTCCCTGTCGCACCCCGAGGCTAGTTTTTTCGGCGGGCAAGGCGTTTCACCTGAGACTTCCTCACCAGTGATGACCTTGAAGCTTAAACATTGACAACAGCTTCACGGATTGGGGGCGGGTGGTTTTCAAAATGTGGTTCTCGCCTTAGCGCCGCGCGTATTCGTTCAAAGCATTGTTAGAGTTTCACGGATTGAGGGCGGATGGTTTTCAAAATGCGGTTCTCGCCTTAGCGCCCTGCAGATTCGTTTTAAAGTTTCGGAAGAGTTTCACGGATTGAGGGCGGTTCCTTTTCAAAATGTGGTTAAGGGCGGCTCCTATTCAAAATGTGGCTCTCGCCTCAGCGCCGCGCACATTCGTTTTAAACATTTACAAGGGCTTCACGGATTGAGGGCGGATGGTTTTCAAAATGTGGTTCTCGCCTTAGCGCCGCGCGTATTCGTTCAAAGCATTGTTAGAGTTTCACGGATTGAGGGCGGATGGTTTTCAAAATGCGGTTCTCGCCTTAGCGCCCTGCAGATTCGTTTTAAAGTTTCGGAAGAGTTTCACGGATTGAGGGCGGTTCCTTTTCAAAATGTGGTTAAGGGCGGCTCCTATTCAAAATGTGGTTCTCGCCTCAGCGCCGCGCACATTCGTTTTAAACATTTACAAGGGCTTCACGGATTGAGGGCGGATGGTTTTCAAAATGTGGTTCTCGCCTTAGCGTCGCGCACATTCGTTTCAAAGTTTCGCAAGAGTTTCACGGATTGAGGGCGGTTCATATTCAACATGTGGCTGTCGCCTATGCGCCGCGCACAGTCTTGATACAAAATGGCAAGAGTTTCGCGGACTACCATGGTCGCAGCAGTTATGAGGATTCGCGGAGTTGAGGTTCTGGCACGATTCAGGATCGTCAAGACGCAACAGTCATGTTCATCCGTGGCGTTGGAATGCTGAGAATCACATTTTGGCATGCTTCAGGGTCTTCAAACGGATGTCTTTCAACGAGGCAGGTCCCTCTGTGGAAGTGAACCGTTGTAGGGGCATATGAAGAGGGAGCTTGGGGGGAGAGTTTATTCCAACATCATATGTGACTCTTGGGTTTACACTGGTCCTCCTCCTCCTCCTCCTCCTCCTCCTCGTCCTCCTCCTCCTCCTCTGAGCGATCCAGGTCTGGGAGCAACCTAGGGCTGGCTCTCCAACTTTCCACCATCCGGTGGCCCAGGCTCGGGAGCTTCTTTCCGTGGCCGGCCGTGCTTCGCGACAGCCCTGGCCGAACCGGGCCTGTGCTGACCCGGCTTTAGTGCATCCCCAGTTTGGTGGCCTCCAGTCCCGCCCGCGTTCCTTCATCGGGGGGAAGAGAACCCCTTAACCCTAATAACACGATGAAGACGTGACCTCACGTAGGTCCCCGTGCTCGCATTTGGGATAATCGATCCGGGCGGTTCGATTTGATACATCTGCAGAAACGTTCCTCTAGCTCTATCTCGCTGGCCCTCCAAACTCAGGTCTCCACCCAAAGGGTTAGGAGTTCCATTTTGGTTGCTCAGTCATCCTTGTGCTGGACAACGCGTTTCGCAGAGGTCATGTCCCAAGGGGGCGCTAAAATCCGGTGCGCTCTCCCGGTCCGCTGAGTTGCGCCGGACGAGCCCGTTTGCGGGGGCGGTGTGCTAAGATCTGTTCTACCGGTAACCTCTGGTGCAGGCCGACGGGGGCCCCCGAAGCCTGAGTGCGGTGCCGCAGCGGCGGCTTGCGCGCTTGTGCGTTTGCTCCCCCCCTCCTCTCTCTTGCCATCGCTCGGACGTGTGCATTTTTCCTCCGGCGAGGACCATCGAGGAGCATCTTTGATCATTTGGAGAAAAAGACCACGCACGAAATCAAAAAAAAAAATAGGGAATGGACGTCCGAGTGATGGCGAGTTCTCTCACCCCCAATGCCCGTGCACCAATGGCCACTCGTGCTCAGAGCCACTCTGACGTGTAGCCAGGCCTCGTGCCCGCCTTGCCAGCACCATCGTCATCATCCCCGCCAGGGTCATGATTAGCTGGTCATCGTCATCATCATCACAGCAGCATTCTCCTCATCGTCATCGTCATCACCATTACTGCCGTTGTCGTCATCATCGTGGTTGTCGTCGCCCGCGTCACCAGCGATACCATTATCAGACTGTCATTATCTCGTCACCGTCGCAGGTGGAGTCATCACCGTCATCTTTCGCCCGCCCGATCAGTAGACTTCCATCAAATGGTCCTCAAGTCTCTGTGCCAGTTCAGCTTTGCCAGCAAGTTGTGGGTCGTTGGGTGAGGGGTTGGCTCGATGACTGGAGCAGGCAACTTAAATACTTTCAAACGGATTTCACCACGCAACGTGTACATCGAGAGTGTACGAAACCATTGGTGGGGTTCCACGCTCGCAGATGTTGTGTTCCATTTGTTTATCATCCTGGTGCTACGGAGCTCAGCGGCAGAGGTAGAATAACGAAAAGCAAACACACACACAGCACACACACACGGACAGAGCCTTCGGCTTAGCGTGTCGCTCCGCCGGTTCTGGCCACGACGCTTCGGCGCGACACGCGATCCACTCTCCCATTCCCAAGCGTCAGCGTCCCGAGCTTTGCCGAGGTTCCCTCCCCGCGGAGCAGAGCAAAACGATGCCCAGTTGCAGGGCGCAGCGTGCCGTTGGGGTTGCCGCCGCGACACGCACAGCAAAAGTTCCCGACCGTATGGACACATACACACACACTCATTGCTTGGCGGAGGCGGCCACGATCTAGCCACGGGTCACGTAGCTGACCTGGCACGCTCATGTTGAAGCTCACCATGTGCCGTGTTCAAAACGTCCGTGCTAACATGCGGCGTGTTGGCTCGGCACGTGTTGGTCCACGCTTTGGCGAACTTATTGCTCCAGACCGACGGTCCTGCGCGTTGCGTGTTGGGTACTGGGGCAGCTAAGCCGGGTCATCATCCGCGCGGTCGCGCCGACAGTGCAGCAAGCGTGGGGGAGCACGCGGAGGCGGCGAGAGCCGACAAGAGAGGAGATGCGAGCGCAGGGACCGTTTGGCGGGCCCACGGCTGGCCATCCGGCACCAGGGGGGGACCGAGACACACACGTGAGCGAAACAGAAAAAACGGGCCCGATTGTGCGGGCAATCGCGCGTAAGCAAGTGTTTTCTCCTCCACGCGGTGTGCCACGCTGCTGGCCGCCCGCGTAAGCGGCGGCGTCAGATCGTTACGTCACTCTCCGCAAGTTTAGTTTTTTTCGATCCGTGGCTCATTTGTTGCACCACTGGCCAGGTGGCGTCACCGTAGCGATCGGGAGCCTCGAGACGGGGGTCAGTGCAAACGGGGGTCGGCCAGAGAGCCGGACCTTACAGGATCCTGCAGAGCCAGTGTCGCACTTGCCTGGGCTTGGATGCAGGATCCTGCTGGACACAGGATCTTCCAGGATCTTGCAAAGACTGACTGACGCGGGTCTGGATTGACCCGGGTCAGTAGATCTTCGAGACGAGGGAGAGTTGGCGGCATGAGCTAGCGCGAAGGAGATACAACAAAAAGTGGTTCCTCCAGCGCGCGGCTGCGACGAACCCAGACCACGTGTGTCTCGAATTTGAGTTCATCGTGAAGAGGCGCGGAGTAACACAGACAAGCAAGCACAACAACACACACGCACACACATAGATTGTTGTCCGTCGGCGGCGAGGTTGAGGCGGTCCGCTCCAGCGTGTGGCAAGGCGGGGCACCCGGATGGCTACTTGGCCGGCGTGCAACACACACACACACACGCGCGCACACAACACACACAAACACACACGCACACGCACAAACACACACGCACACACACACACACACGCACGCACGCACACCACACCCACCCACCCACACACACACACACACACACGCACGAACACACACAATCACACACACACACTCACACGCACACGCAAGCACATACACACATTTGCACGCATGTTGTTCCTCCAGCGGCGGGGTGAGGACACCGCCGCGATGCGCTGAGCCGGGACGCGTAGGCGAATTACCACCAGGCCTAGCAGATGGGTGGATTGGATCGGGACGTTAGATACAGAAAAATCGCAGAAGCGGATGTGCGTAAGCGAAACAGAAACGATCTTGCAATGCAATGCAGGAGTAGGTCGAGGTAAATGCATGCGCCGAAGCGTAGCCAGTGAGTGTCGCTGCCCGACTGCAAGAGCGCAGCCTGGCAAAATGGCGGGAAAACTACGCGTGGAGGATGCAGCAGTTGTACCCCCGCCCGCGGCACCAGGGGCACACGCGAAGCAGCCACATTTATACTTGGCGAGTGCTGCTAAACCGGCCACCCTGGCCGGCCGGGAAGGGATACGTACCCTGGCAAGCGTGCGGGCTCCCGCACGGAAAATCGACGCCGCGCGAGTGGCAAACTACGGAGCCAGGCGCGTTGCACCCGAGCGCGCCATCCCATTGCGAGGGGCGTGGGAGCCTCGGCATCCGAGAAGCGCCCAGGCCGGCGGCGGCGCCGACGAACGATGTGACTACAGGAGGTACAGGGCGTCGGCGCTTGTGCCGAGGATCGGGCGGCAACGCAGTAAAGGCACCGAGGTTCGAAAACTTGCGAGCTTCTCGCGAGGGGCACGACGGGCGCGGCGCGAAGGCGCCACAAGCCCTTGGAGCTGGGCGTGGCAGAAAGGGTCGCGTACACATCGAAATATTCACAGGCGTGCAGAGACACCAACACGCAGAGACAGTAACAGACACGCGCGGACACACCAACGCGCGCACGCACACACACAAACACACACACACACACACACGCACGTACAGACTCACAACATGGAAACATGGAAAAATGCGAAGTTGCGCGCGCTCAGGCAGGATGGAGCTGCGCGCTGCGAGGGCAGAGGCGCGAACGCCCCCCAAAAACTCAAAACTTCGATCGCGCAGCTGTGTTCGAGAGATCGGAGCAGTTCATTTTCGTTAGCTGTCGTTCTTTAGTTTGCCGCCCCCACGGTACCCTCTATCCCGCAGCCTGCCGTCGTCTCCCTCTCTCTTTGGTTGCCAGTGTGTCCCTGCCTCTCCTTCACACACTCGAACACTGTCTCTCTCTTCTCTCTCTGACTCTCACGCTCTCTCTGTCTCTTTTTCTTTCTTTCTCTCTCTCTCTTTCTCGGTTTGCCTCTCTCTATTACTCTCTCTCTCTCATGCCCCCGCCTGCTGTCCCTCGCCCCTTCCTGGTGGTCCAAAAGCGTAGGCACACGTTGGGCATCGGACTGTCAGGAACTTTCGCTTAGCGTGTGGCGCCAACCGTTCTGGCCCACCACGTTGCGGTGCGACACGCTCTTCCTTTCCGGGTCCCTGAGCGTCAACATCACGAGCTTTTCCCAGCCTCTCGTCCCGCGGAGCGGAGCGACACACCATCCGCTCGAATGGCACACGCAGCGTGTCGCCGAGGCCGGCGCCGCGACACGCTGTGCTGGAGTTCCTGACCGCAAGCCCTTTTGTTGCGCACTACCTGGTCCTGCAGTACACCCTCCCGTCTGGGTCTCCCTTCGCGGAGCGCACCACAGCTGCTCCTCTTCCGAGCATGGTCTCGCCACACGCGCAGGGAGCGGAGCGGGTTGGGATGCTTGGCATCGCTCGGACGTGTGCATTTTTTCTTCGGCGAGGACCATCGAGGAGCATCCTTGATCATTTGGCGAAAAAGCACGCACGAGACCGAAAAAAAAACACAGGGAATGGCCGACCGAGCGATGGGCAGAGCATGGTCTCGCCACACGCGCAGGCTTCCTGAGCGGGGTGGGATGGCGATGGGCCGCGCCTGATGTGCAGAGTTTCAGGAGGGCCGGCGGAGGCAGAGCTCTTGTTTGCGAGACGGGAAAATGACCACAGCCACTGCTTCTTTTTTGCGCCGCCTTCCAGCCGGCCGAAAAGGAAGCAGTGGTTGTGGTCATTTCCCTGGTGCCAAGTTTAACGAAAATGACCACAACCGCTGCTTTGTTTCTGCTGGCTGGAAGGCGGCAACAAAAGAAAAGCAGTGGCTGTGGTCGTTTTCACGTCCCGTATTTTTCCCTGCTGCGACGGCGCGAACCATAGCGGCGCTCACAGCGCGCCGTGAGGTCGGTTTGAGCTCCGACCGCATGCACGTGTGCAACGCACGCTTGGTAGTTTGCAAGGCGTGGCCCTCCGTCCGTGCAGCTGGTTGGTCGGTTTATGGGAGTGCAGTGATGCTTCATTGTGAACAGATCAGGAGGGGAAAAAACACACAGACACAGTTAATCGTCGACTCCCAGGAAAATACGGGAAAATATGGGAAGTGGGGGGGGAAGACAGAAACCCAGAAAATATGGGAAAATTGGGGGAATCCTGTTCTTTGTGTGTATATATTTGTGTGTCCCAGGGCCCCTTCAACAGAGCCATGTGGTTGTTCGACGTCTCACGGCCGTGGATTTTGGGGAAGCCCCAGACGAAAAAATGGTTCTTAAAATCTACTTTCCTCTATCCGCGCAGCTGTCGCAATGCCCACGCTGTGCAGTCACACAGTGTAAGGATCTCTCAGGCCATCGCCCGTTTCTGAAACAAACCTGCCCCACCACCCCAGTGCATATCGGTGGAAATCACTGCCATGACAGTCTCGAGCGGGAGCTGGTTGCTTAAGATCACCCGCCCTCCATCTGCGTACTTTGCTGAGATGTCAGACTTTTTACGTGCATAAGACATATGCTGTGCAGTAGGTTTCAAGCTCGGGCCGTGTCTTGATGCTTATCCGTTGTCCATCCGCTTGGCTGATCTGGTTCGTAGATGTACCTCGACAGTGGGCTTCACAGTGAGTGTTTTCTTGGTGGGGGAAGTTTCAAACGATTGCCGTATTAGGGGAAACAACCTGCCCTCCGTCCGACTAGCACCATGACCATGATATGCGCAGATGCCTTAGGCGAAATGCAAAATGTTCACACCGCCCTACCAAGACGAACATCGCGTCGATGCGATGACGACTTCTTTGCCATTGCCCATGGATGAGGTGTAGGAGGATGTGGATGACGAGGATGCGGAGGACGGGTAGGATGAGATGGGGAAGGAAGGTGATCAGGAGGGGGGGGGGAGGGCGTAGCAGCAGCACGGGGAGGACGCAGCATCCGCTGGACTTGGCAGTGAAGACCGCGAGCAGAGAGCATGCGGAGGTGAGAAAGAGGAAGGCAGCGCGTGACTCCGCTGACTTCTGCATTTCCCGCCATATTTTTAAAATTCATTGTATACTTATTTCGCTCTTCATCCTCCTGCTGCTCTTCACACTCTCCGCTCACCCCCATGCTGCTGCCCATCCTCCCGCTCCTGTCTGCTGTCGTGCCATCAGGTGTGCGAGTTCCCCGAGGTGGCGATTGCCACGAAGCTGCGGGGCCCTCGGGAGCCAGTCGCGAGCAGCCGAGATCCTCGCCCCGATCCTGCGCAGATCCCATCCGCGTGAACGTTTTTGTTGGGCCGGCCCTGCGTGCGACGGTCTGCCTCCTCCCATTTTGTCTCCCATGCGCGCGCACCTTGCCGTCTCGCTCTTTTTCCCCCTGCTCTGTCCTCTTCCACGCCAGCTGTTGTTTAGGCTCTCGCCCTGCACGCAGGCCTGGCTTCATTTGACCGTCGACGCCGCGCGGCTGTCCGCCAGCGGTCGTAAACCAAAAAAGTACACCTTGCCGTCCGTGCGCGCTGTCTCTTGACCCCCGTGTGCCACTGGGCCGCTCTGCGCGTGGGAGGCCTGGTCCCCCGCGGCTGGCAGCTGCAGGGGCCCCTTCCTCGCGTTCGCCCTTCCGGGCGTCTGCCTCGGCCGGCCGTGGCCTCCCCTCTCCTCCGTGCCCGGCCGCTGCCATGGCCGTCGGCGGTGAGGCCCAATCCCTCCCTGGCCGTCCCAGGCATCTTCCCCAGCACCCTCCTCCCTCCCCCTCCTCCTCCTTCTCCTCCTCCTCCTCCTCCTCCTCGTCCTCCTGCTCCTTCTCGTCCTCCTGCTCCTCCTCGTCCTCCCGCTCCTCCTCCTCCTCCTCCTCCTCTTCTTCCTCCTTCTCCTCCTCCTCCTCCTCCTCCTCCTCCTCCTCCTCCTCCCGCTCCTCCTCCTCCTCCTCCTCATCCTCCTCCTCCTCTTCTTCCTCCTTCTCCTCCTCCTCCTCCTCGTCGTCTCAGGCCGCTCCCCCATCAGAGGCCGATTCCTCGCCGGACCGGCCCTTCCTGGGGCCTCCCGCCCATTCTTCAAGAGAGCGCGGCTCCCGATCGGCTCGGACGCGCCGCGAAGCAATCTGGCGCCGGTGTTCGGGCCGGCCGGATCGTCTGTATGTAAAGACGCCGCCAGGGTGTGCCCGGACACCCCGCTGGCTGGTTCGATCGAAGTGGGCACGGAAAGAATGGGGACGAAGACCGACAGCAGCTCCTGCCCATCTGGAAAGAAGGCTGGCGCCAGCTCCTGGCCGAGCCTCCGCGTACGTGGTCCAGTTGAGACAACACATCGCGTGCCGAACAGCGGCCATTGCCGCTTTTGGAAAGCCAAGGACCCCCGTCGTCATGATTTTGCTCGCGACTTGTACCCCCAGAGGTCTGGACCCATCCCGCGGGGACCGGTTTTCATCTTGAGCCGTGACTCGAACGGTCGGGGTGGCCCTGCGAGGGCTCCCCGGAGCCGAGAGCCATCAAACATTGGCCGTCGTGGCGTCGTCATGCAGCGAGGGGGTATGATACCCTTGATCAGAGCCCCGAATAATCAGGGGTACCTCGGGTCAGGGCTAACTCGGGTTGGTTTTTCGGAATTCCGAACCCGCCTTACCCCGGACCCGACTTACCCCGGATAGTTCGGGCGTCCAGAGCCCCGACTCATCAGGGGCAACTCGGGTCAGGGCCAACTCGGGTTGGTTGTCCGGGATTCCGAACCCGACTTACCCCGGACCCGACTTACCCCGGATAGTTCGGGCGCCCAGAGCCCCGACTCATCAGGGGCAACTCGGGTCAGGGCCAACTCGCGTTGGTTGTCCGGGACTCCGAACCCGCCTTACCCTGGACCCGACTTACCCCGGATAGTTCGGGCGCCCAGAGCCCCGACTCATCAGGGGCAATTTGGGTCAGGGCCAACTCGCGTTGGTTGTCCGGGAGTCCGAACCCGCCTTACCCCGGACCCGACTTACAGTTTGCTGTCGGGCATCGTGCCCATGTTTTCGGCACCCCTCTTGGGTGTGCCGGCCCAGCGCGACAGCGCGCTCGCGCGCTTGCTCGGGCCCGTCGGGACCGCCCCGTCGCGCCGCGGGGGCGCCCCCGGCCCCAGAGATCCGACGCCTTCGCTTGTTCGAATGCTCTAGGCCTTCCAGCAACGACGACGACAGGTACGACTACGCAGGAGGAGGAGGAGGATGGAGGGGGAGGAGGGAGGGGAGGGAGGGGAGGGAGAGGAGGAGAGGAGGAGGAGGAGGAGGAGGAGGAGGAGGAGGAGGAGGAGGATGGAGGGGGAGGAGGAGGGGGAGGGAGGGAGGAGGAGGATGAGGATGAGGAGGAGGAGGAGGAGGCTGAGGAGGAGGCTGAGGAGGAGGAGGAGGAGGAGAAGGAGGAGGAGGAGGAGGAGGAGGAGGTTTTTCGGACCAGTCCGATTCACTGCCGAGAGAAAAGGGGGAGGACCCAAACTGAAGACCTTTAGCGGTTGGGCAGGGGTCGGAGGATCGCGCCGCATCGCCGATGCATCGGCGATGCTGCTCGATGTGGAGCACGATTCTCTCCACGCCGACGTCGGCGATGCGGTGCGATCCTCCGACCCCGTCTGTTCCGACCCAATCTGGGAGGCCTCGAGCTCTAAATGCGGGGTCCTCGGAAGCCCTGACCTTTTGCTCAGGGCTGGCGGTTCGTCCCGAGCCGGGTGTTGGTTGCCCCGGATCCCGGCGAGGAGGGGCACGGACAATATCAGATTAGCTTAAAAATAATTGAACATGACGCGCTGAGCTTGGCTCAGCCAGGTAGATGACAGAAGACGATATTCGTTCCCTGAAGTTTACAAACAACAGTCCGAAAACAAGCGCGATACAACAGTTCATGCGAACACAGCAACTCAAAAATGCATGCTCGCAGACGTGGGTGGGTCAGAGGTGTCGGCTCCCCGACCGCGAGCCGGTGGTCCGCGTCCCGCCGGCCGCTGCCGCCCGCGCGCTCGCGCGCTGGAGGTACCAGGTCTCCAACGTGGACACCGCCGCCCTCTCGTTCGAGGCCCCGCCGGCGGGGGTGGCCCTCCGCGGCGGCGGCCCCAGGAAGCAAGGAAGCCCTTGTTCCTCCTCCTCCTCCTCCTCCTCCTCCTCCTCCTCCTCCTCCTCCTCCTCCTCCTCCTCCCCCTCCCTCTCCTCCTCCTCCTCCTCCTCCTCCTCCTCCTCCCCCTCCTCATCCTCCTCCTCCTCCTCCTCCGCCTCCTCCTCTTTCTCCTCGTGGAACGTCGCGCCGGAGGCTCCTTTTTTGTTTTCTTCAACATTCGACGTCCATGGTCCGAGGCGGGATCCAGGACCGCCACCGCCAGGGGGATTCGATGTGTGGAGACCTCGGCAGGCGGTCTCTCTGGATATGCAGTGGAGACCCATGCCAAGAAGCACCCTGCCTGTCTCCAGGGTGCCCTGGGTTTCTTGGGTTTCGATGGTTTTGTCATGTGGGAGATTTCTTGTGGACTGGCCTCCACTGTATTCGGGCCCTGGAGACGCGAAATGCACCTGATCCTCTGCCAGCCGAGGCCCCCGAAAATGCCGATCCCCCAGGCAGTGGTTACGGATGAGCCCCCGCTCCGCACAGGGGCCCGTTCCCCAGTCGCTGGGGCAGCGTAAGAGCAGCTCGGGATGAGAAGCAGGCCCCGGGGACAAGAAGCTCAGAACCTCAGGCGTCGGCGACTTGAGAACGGCCGGGTTGCCTCAGGTTTCCGTCTGGGTCGAGTCTGCTGCAAGCCGGCGGGGGCGGCGGGGATGCTGGGAAGGCCGCAGGGGGGGCAGGCGCTAGGCGAGCGGAGGGGAGGGAAGGGAGGAGGAGGAGGAGGAGGAGGAGGAGGAGGAGAAGGAGGAGGAGGAGGAAGAGCAGGAGGAGGAGGAGGAGGAGGTGGACGAGGAAGGGGGAGGGGGAGGAGGAGGAGGAGGAGGGGAACGGCTGGTGGAAGAGGCAGCGGGAGTGGCCAGGGAAGGGCGGCAGTGGAGAGGGGGGAGGGCCGCCGGAGGAGGACGGAGTATCGGCGGCGAGCGAGGGTGCAGTCGGGCGTGTCCCTCGACGTGCGGAATATTCTAAGATAGTAAAACCATAGTCGGGGGACGACTTTTCCAGCATTAGTTTTAGTGTTTGTTGTATTTCTTGATTTCCCCCCTCACACATCCGCCTGTAGGAGGACATGCCCGACCTAAAGCGAGGGGGGCAAGTGAGAAGGAGGGGGCCTTCTCAGAAGGCGGCGGGACTTCTCAGAAGCCCTCGCGCCTTCTGGGAAGCTTTCCGTGTCTGCGGGGAGGCGTAGAACATTTCTCAGATGGTTGGGGGACTTCCGAGCCTTCTGAGGAGGCCCGCTCCTTCTCATTTCCCCTCCTCGCTCGCCGCCGAGAGGAGGATGGAGAGCGCATAGCTCACTTGGAGGCGGCGGGATGACACTGTTCAGTCCCATGGTCAGGACAAGCCTCCTGCAACCAGCAAGCCTAGCAGTTGACGAGCCCCCTTTGCAAGCCAAACGAGCACTCCCCGAGACCAGAGTGCCCCCCCCCCTCCTGGGGCCAGCGTTGCCAGAAGAGTGGCGCCAGGCACTCGCGGAGATGCAGCCAAGTTCTGGAGGATTGGGCAGTCTGCGCTCCCAGCGAACATCCCCCATCCCTTGTTTGCTGCGTCTCCCTTCCTCAAATGGTCTGGGACACATGCAGCTTGCATGCCCATCGTTGGCCTATTCGGAGCCACGCATCCGGCGTGTCCAGCAGCATCTCCCCCCCTCCCCCGAGCCCCTCTCCTGCATGCCCTCCCCGGCGTGCCCTCCCCTGCATGCCCTCCCCGGCAGGCCCTTCTCTTAGGGAAACGAACAATGGCATAAACTTCAGAGCTCGTAGGTCCGCGCGGATTTCTAAGATCGGCGCTGGACCCCCACCTCCCTGGCGCGCGGAGCGCGCCAGGCGCGGCGCCGGAGGCGCCGCCAGGGGGGTCCAGCGCCGATCCGAGAATTCCGCGCGGACTCGAAGAGGTTTGTAGGTTTCTGCTACCTGCCTCGGCTCCCCGGCCCTCCGCGCCTCCCCTCCCCCCGCCCCCCGCCTCCCGTCCGCGCCTCCGAGCTCTCCCCGGCCCTCCGCGCCTCCCCTCCGTGCCTCCGAGCTCTCCCCCTCCCCCCGCCCCGCCCGCGGGGGCGCCGTGGCTGTAGGCGAGACCCTCGTTGGCGGCCCGCATGCGTGCACGCGGGGCGGCCCGCCGTGGCGGCGAGGTCGACTTCGTGGTGCGGCTCGAGTGGCGGGACGACAACCTGGAAGGCGAGTCCCAGGGGCCTCGGGCCCCCTCCTCCTCCTCCTCCTCCTCCTCCTTCTCCTCACTTCGCCCCCTCCTCCTCCTCCTCCTCCCTGCTCCTCCTCCTCCTCCTCCTCCTCCTCCTCCCTCCTCCTCCCTCCTCTTCCTCCTCCTCCTCCTCTCCTCCTCCTCCTCCTCCTCCTCCTCCTCCTCCTCCTCCTCCTGCTCCTCCTCATCCTCCTCCTTCTCCTCCTCCTCCTCCTCCTGCTCCTCCTCCTCCTCTCCCTCCCTCCCTCCCTCCCTCCTCCTCCTGCTCCTCCTCCTCCTGCTCCTCCTCCTCCTCCTCCTCCTCGATTTCTGGACTCCGCGGCCCCCCCGAAAAGGTCCCGACCGCTTCCCCGGGGGCAGGATCCCCAAGCATGCCCGGAGCTGTCAAGCAACGACGGGAGGTGCTGTTGGCTGTGTTCGGTCCCTCGCCGGGCGCTCCAGGGCCGTCAAGCATCAGCCCGGGATTCGTAAACATGCCCTGGGGACACGGTCCGCAGGCCTCTCGTAGTGAAAAAGCACAGACGTCGCATGTCTCGGCCTCCGTCCCGGATCCACTTCTTGGTCCCCACTCTTGCTTCGAGGGGCAAGAAAATGAGTCAACCGGTAGTGTCGGAGGCCCCATTTATGATGTAGGCGCTGACACTTTCAAACCTCCTCTCTTGGCGCGCGACGCGCTCTAGGGGCGGCGCCAGAAGCGCCGCAAGCCGACCCAAGAGATCCGCCCGACCATCCGACATCGTTTTTTACGATTGAATTGATTCGTAATTACTACGTCACGTGATTATTATTCCTTCTTCCCCTCCTCGTCGCTCCGTATCCTCTGTGTCTCCCTCGGTCGTCTTGTTCCTCCTCTTCCCCTTCCCCCTGTCCCCCGAGGCCCGAAACGAGACGAACACGCACTGTGACAGTACAGCGGTCGGGGGTCTCAAGCCTGTGATGATGATAGCTCTTGTCTGACAGGGTCCTCCCTGCCAGCACGCGCGCGCAGGGTCGAGGAGAGAAAGGGGAATGGCTGTATCCAGCTGCCTACGGCAAGTCCCGCCACCGTGCCAGCCCAGCATTCAGTGTGGCGACTGATCGAGGGGGCACGGGAGGCCGTCTCGTGCGACGCATCGTGTAGGGCCGTGATGCTGCTGCTGCTGCTGCTGCTGATGATGATGATTATTATTATTATGATGATGTTGATGCTGATGCTGACGCTGATGCTGGATGCTGATGCTGATGCTGCTACTTGTGACGACGATGATGCTGATGATGCTGCTGATGATGATGATGATGATGATGATGATGCTGATGCTGATGGTGATGCTGATGCTGATGGTGATGGTGATGGTGATGATGATGTTGGTGTTGCTGGCGGTGATGGTGGCCAGTAAGCGCGCGCAGGTACGAGGAGAAGAGGGGGAGCGGAACGTTTAATACCCACTGGCTATGCTTTTCCTCGTCGCAGAGCCGGGCGCCGCATTGGGTTGCGCCCGTGCGCTGGGCGCGCGGGGAAACGTCGTCGCAAGCGGCGTCTCTCTTCTTACGCCGAGAAGTCACCTTCAACAAAGAGCCGCTGAGCTGTTCGGGGGAATGAACTCCGCGAGCCGTGCTGGGAAGCTGACCCGCAAGGAGGGCTCGCTTCTCCTCCACCTCCTCTCCCTCCTCCACCTCCTCCACCTCCTTCTCCTCCACCTCCTCTCCGCCCAATCGGAAAGCGCCGTGTGCCCCCCTCCTCCCCCTCCTCCTCCTCCTGCTCCTCCTCCTCCTCCTCCTCCTCCTCCTCCTCCTCCTCCCCGTCCTCCTCCTCCCCCTCGGCCTCCTCCCGCTCCGCCGCCCACCTGGCGCTGGGCGACCTCGCCACCCGCCCCCTTCTGGGCGGTCCCCGTCATTCGACGAGCTGACTGTGATGGCGTCGGAGGGTCGCGCCGCATCGCCGATGCATCGGCGATGCGGCTCGATGCGGCGCCCGATGTTCTTTACGCCGATGGCGCCGATGCATCGCCGACGTCGCCGGCGCATCGCCGATGCAGCCTCGATGCATCGCCGATGCATTGGCGATGCAGCGCGACCCTCCGACGCCATCTGCTCAGACCCCAGACAGGCAGGCCCCGACCGACGGGCCCGAGCGGCCGAGAGCGAGGAGGAGGGGCCGCCGAGATCGAGGTGGCGCGCCCGGACCGAAGCAACAAGTCACATCTCGGGCGTTGCGTAACTCAGGAGGGAAAAAAACACACAGACACAATTAATCGTCGATTCCCCAGAAAATATGGGAAAATATGGGAAGTGGGGGGGAAGACAAAAACCCAGAAAATATGTGAAAATATGGGGGATACTTTTATTTGTGTGTATCTATTTGTGTGTCCCAGGGCCCCTTCAGTAACAGGGGGGGGGGGGGGGCGATGAGTGGTGAGGGTGATGCAAGGCGCATCCTTCTTGCACCCTGAGGGCCCAACGGGGCACGAAAGAGGTGCACGACTGTTCGCCCACCCGGTGGGGGCGTTGGTGCAGGAAGGTGCCCAGGAGGCCTCCGACCCTGGAGGCCTCCTTCTCTCAGAAGGGCGGCGGTGCTGCCCACGGCCAGTCCACGATCAAAGTCCCACTGGCTCTGAGCCCCTGGATTCCTTAGCGGAGGTTCCCCTAGTGACCCGAGGCAGCGAGGCACTAGTGACCTGACAGCTCTCGAGTGTAGTAGACGTACTTATCACGAGCAGGTGAATATTTCACGAAGTGGTCCTCCATGCTGCCGAATAAAACAAATGAGAAAGAATCCCCTATCCGGCGCCATCACCGCATCGCCCCCGCCCCCCCCACGGCCCAGCGCCCGCGCATCGTCGGAGATGTGGGGCCCCCGCTCGGCGGGTCCCGGGGCCGACGCCGAGGAGGCCTACAGGGCCCCGCGCCCCCTCGGCGGGCTCCTCGGCGGGCCCCCCCAAAAGGCACCGCGGGAGCTCCAGGGCGCCCCGCCCACCCTCGGGCGACCCCAGCGGTATACAGTCGAGACCGATGGCAAGGGAAGGGTCAACCTTCCCAGGGGTGCCCCTGCATCGTCCTCCGTCTCCTCCTCCTCCTCCTCCTCCTCCTCCTCCGCCTTCTCCTCCTCCTCCTCATCCTCCTCCTCTTTCTCCCCCTTTCTCTATCTCCTCCTTCTCGCTCCTCCTCCTCCTCCTCCTCCTCCTCCTCCTCCTCCTCCTCCTCCTCCTTATCGGTCCATCCTCGACGCCTTCCGATAGCCAGCACCGCTCGAGGAGCTTCGACATAGGCGTCCAGGGCCCTTGCGTGCTTATCGTGCGTCGTTGCTATCAGTTTTGACCTCCCTGGGGGCGTTCGTTAAGGAATGTGCCAAGGCGGTTCCAGAGCCTGGAAGATCCCTTGTCTGATGAGAGCTGCGGTGAGATCCATGTCCGAACTAGAACATAGGAGTTCCGTTGGCGTCCAGACCCTGGATTCCTTATCCAATGGTTGCTAACTGTCGAGCCGGCCCGAGGTATAGGATCGAGGCTGGTTCCCTAATGTTCTTCGTGTTTGTTGGATGTTCTTGTGCACCCTGGGGGAGGGCACCCTCGAATGTCCTTCAATTTCGGCCAGCGGAGGTCTCATGTTCTCGAAGGATGCCCTCTTGTCCTACAGTCGGGCCTAGGCCAGAAGAACACCCTCCACGAACACGAGACCCTCCGCCGGCCAAGACGGGCAGAACACCCAAGGAAACCCTCCCCCAGCATGCGCGAGAACATCCAACGAGCACGCAAAACAGCAGGGCACCCTCCCCGAAACGACCTCGATCTTTTTTACCTCGGCCCGACTGCGGGCCCGGCCGCCCCCGCTGCCCCCGCCGCACCGGAGGCATTTGCTCCTCCTCCTCCTCCTCCTCCTCCTCCTCCTCCTCCTCCTCCTCGGGCTCAAGGAGGTGAAGACGTGGAAGTCGGGACAGAAGCAGGTGTACGGCATGATGATGCGCCAGATCCTCCGCAACTCCCAGCAGCAGCGCGAGGTCATGGCCACGCTCTTCGACGTGTACCTCGGCCCAGAGAACCATCCCATCATCTTGCGCATGGGGGA